GATCCCCCCCCCCCCCGCCCCCTTCTTATCCCTTCCTCAACCTCAGAGGTTAACCAAGAACAAATCCTTGACTTTGAGGGAAAATTTATTAGGGCTTCCCCCTTAAATACCCCTGGCCAATTCTTTTTAGTTCTCTCTGTTTACTGGCTGTGAACTTACTCTCTAAACCTCTCTTGAAAAGAGAAGAGTAGCTCCTACTTTTCAAGCAAGACCTCTGGAAATACAACAATAAAATACTAGTCAGCTTTTCATAGGGCAACCTACAAATTTTGCAAATAAACAACCAAAAGAATAAATAAAATCATGCACTGACATACATAATTGCAATGATTTTATGCCTACCTAATGCAAGTACCACCATTGTGGCATGGATGATAGTCACAAACTGGAACATTACAGTTCTCAATGTTCCGTCCTTCCAATGCCTCCTCTATAATGAAGAGTTCTTGGGTGTTGACTTGGAACTCTCTGATGCAGCCTGTGAAACCATAAATCTGCCCAGAGTTTGGATGAATGCTCATGCGATGAGAGGGGACATTTCCAAGGAATATTGGCCCAAAGCTAACCTAAAAAAGATCATAGAGAAAAAAGTTCCAATAAGAATGGCTGTAATTGTGTATTGGTTGTGCATAGATCAGCTTCCACATCTTCTCAACTTATAATCACAAACTCAACAAAACAAAACAAAACAACCCCCACCCCCCAAAAAACAATGTCTAGGATACCCTGCTCCTGATAAACATGTCCATTGTATATTGTGTGCATATATGTACATATATGGAAGTCATCATCCAAAAAAGGCCACAGGTAGGATGAAAACTGTCTATTAATTTAATTTTTATTTATTTTTGGGACCTTTGAGTCTTGAGTTCTGGAAATTACATGGACTAGTCCCTACAGTTTTCTTGGCAAGATTTTCAGAAATGGTGTGCCATTGCTTTCTTCCTAGGGCTGAGAGAGAAGGACTGGCCCAAGATCATCCACCTGGCTTCGTGCCTGAGGTGGGACTAGAACTCATGGTCTCCTGGTTTCTAGCCTGGTGCCTGAACCACTACACCAGACTGGCTCTCACTCTTCTTCCTAATCCATATGTATTGATTCCTCTAGTTCAGAAGAAGATGAGAGGCAGTTAGAAGCCTCCCAGAAACCAGGGCAATCCCATCACTTCCTTCCCTCTTAGGAAGTGGAGTGGACAAGGACATGTTGTGTCCATGGAACAACAGCATTGCCCCTGCAGATTGCAGCAGGCCTGGTCCAGACCTTTGTCCATTCCAAGCTTTCCTGCTATGTGGTACAATGATAATGATAATTAAATGTATATGCTGCTCAACTCACAGTGACTCTGGTTTGGACAGGAAAATTGGGACAGGGGCGGGGAGGTTACCAAGAAGCATTCCAAGCTATCATGGAAATTAAAACAAAAAAACCTAGCATTATAGAAGTCTCTTTCTCGGGAAAGGAGGAGCAACTATAGCTGAATCTGCTTCCTATCACAGCAGATACATTCAGCTATATTAATAAGGAAAAAATAAAGACCTACCCTTTCTGGGCAGCAACATCCAGAAAACAATGAGATAGCAACAAAACTGACTTTGAATTTTCTTAATTTTTTGCACCCTAAATATGGCAGCCCAATAAACTAACATTTAGGTCTTTAGGAGTTAGGTGGCCTGTAAATTAAATAAATAAATAAATAAACAACATTAATTATTTGCTTCTACATTTATTTAATATAAAGCAGGATCTTTACTTCTTAACAATGTTTTTTTCTTCTTTTTTGCCAGCTTTTTGCTGGGCAGAACAAATTATTCTAGAAACCATTGAGTGTGGGCTGGGGTTGATAGGAACTTCATCCTCACATGTATGGAATTATCTAAGTTGCAAAAGGCTGTCATTCATGATGTACACACTCATCACTGTGGTACATGTTCTCCTTCTACATAAATGAACTGCTTTGGTAAGTTATCCATCAACTGTCTTGGTTGAACATTCAACATGAAGCTTTAGTAGCCCCATAAGACAACCACTAGGGAGTTTTCCCATACAATTCCCACTGAAATTAAGAGAAGCTGTAACAAAAGCGTTATTGCTCACAGCAGTGGGAAATGCAGGAGAATTCCCAGTAGTTTGCATCTTAAATGAACATCATTATTAAGATGCCTCAACTAATTCAAAATTACAGTGGTACCTCGGGTTATGAACGCCTCTACTAACGAACATTTCGGGTTACGACC